TATTTATGTTATATATTTACCTTTTATTCACAAATTTATAAAGTGAATCCTACCTCTATGGAGCCAAATCTTAAGCTAGGATAAGTATTCACTATTTTCTGATTGATGATTCTTAACTGCTTCTATAATATAAATACTAATTCATATTCGATAAATCTTTATGGGTCTAGGCATGATGCTCCATGTCCAAGGCATTCCCGCCTACAATTTTTCCTACGTCTTCAAATTCAATACAGGCTTATATTTGTCAGGAAGTTGTATTCCTTTACCAAAAAATAAATCTGAATTTTGATATTGAGACAGTGGAAATGGTATATCCTTTGGTGCAGAAACAGCATCTAACCTTGCCATTTGTTCAGACGTAAGTCTATTATTTAAATCAATATATAAATGATAAGTGAAGGTTCAGTTTTATACAAAAATAATTGAAGATTTATAATAATTTACTTGAATTCAAGAGTACTAAGGTTTTCAACTAATTGAGCTTTTGTTCTAGCACCGATAAGAGGCGAGGTAATACCAGGTTTTTGTGATATCCAATTCAAAGCGACCTTTAATTTAATAAAAATGGGGAATAAAAAAAAAGGGATATTAATAAACAAATTGTAAATATTTATGTGATACTAAACAATTTAATTCATGAAGTTACCTGGACAGGACTTCTTTTGGTTTCAGCAGCAATAGCTATAACTTCATCAAGGATTTTCCAATTTTGTTCTTTTTTTGCTGCATTAGCAATTGCGTGGCTTCTGAAGCTGCTCATCTCACTAACCTTTTCGGCAACTGATTCCCTAGTGTATTTTCCAGTTAAAAATCTAGGTAAAAATAATAAAATGAGAATATAAATCAGCACTGATCAACATATGCACAATCACACAGTGCATCAAAAAAAACAATTTAACGGTAATTACCCTTCAGCAACAGATCCCCAAGGAATAATTCCAACCTTTATGGTAAACATTAACAGTTAGTTCTCATGTCAATCACTATATTTTTTGTAACCCATATTCAAATCTCGACAATTATATTAGTCAAGAGTAAATAATAACAAAACATATTGACGCACATTATATTCAGCACAAGCAGGTTGTAGATCAAATTCCAAAGATCGATCTAATAAATTGTATCGAGTTTGCAATCCAATAAATCGACTTAAATAAATTAACAAGGTTTGTTACTTTTTATATTTAAAATATGTAAGATCTATATCATTATATGCATGGTATTACCTCCAACCACGTAAATCAGCCAACATATTTGCACTACTAATCACCCATGCTGGTGAATCACTAATCGCGACATAGAGTACCTATAGGATTTTGTATTAAATACTAATAATAAATTAGACATATTAAGTATTAGATATCAAATGACCCACCTTGCCACTTCTAATTACATCATCTAAAGAACGCATCACTTCTTCAACTGGAGTACGAAAATCCCAAACATGAACATACATAAGATCAATATATCCAGTGCCCAATCGTTTAAGACTTTCATTGAGATTTTCGGTAAGAGATTTTCGGTGGTTTCCACCTTTAAAAAAAATCCTTTTTAGAACTTTTATCAGCATATACATTCTAATGAAATGAGTAATAAAATTACCAGCATTTGGGTTAAGCTTAAGATTTGGCTCCATAGAGGTAGGATTCACTTTATAAATTTGTGAATAAAAGGTAAATATATAACATAAATA